TATATTAGGTCTTTTTATTAAGTCATTTTTACCCACCTAACTTGTCAATATTTTAATTTTTATATTCTATGTAAAAAAAAAAACTAATTTTAAATAAAATTTTTCAATTGTTTATTTCATTAAGATAATGTCTTTTCAGATTTTCAGTAAGAAGAATGAAAGGGTAGATAAACATTAAGTAATTTAATACTCCAATTGACATTCCGGTAGACTAACATTGGTTGTTATTCCTGACTATAGACAAATTTTGAAAAATTTGTGTCAGTCTTGAAACTTCAATAGAAATCTGCTGCCACTGCCTAATTATTGTCCTATTTTCATAAAATTTCAAATTCTTACCATTTATTATGAACCTTACCCCCTAAAAAAAGGGTTAAGCAAACAGGGTTGGCAAAAACACAGGTTTTTTTAGGAAAAACTAGCCCAGTAAGTTTTTTAGGGTAATATTTGGTTTTATGAGTTTTATTTTTATTTCGTATCTGTTAAATTAAATAATATTGAAAATTAGTATAATTTTCTACTTTAAACTTCCTAACTTTAAAGTATTATTTAAGTTATTTAAGAGTTTATAATAAGAATTTTTCAAACTATTTAAAAAAAGTTTTTTAAACATAATTTAAAGCTGTAATACAAAAAACTCATGTTAAACCTCTATGTATTGATTTGTTTTAGATTTAAAAGTAATATTTTTATAATTATAAAAATAAATATCAATGAGAAATGGGAGAAGGATGAAAAATGGGAGGAAATAACTGATGTTTCAGTTAAACTTCAATATGAACTTAAAACTAAATGAACAAACTTGTTTCTCTGCGCAGCACTATTGTTTATAAAGGTTTGTGTTTCAGAGTTAAAAAAGTTGAGAGAGCGTTGTAACCACAATAAGGTTTCATCCTCAACTGTAATGGCCTTCTCAACCATGGAGAACATAAAAGATAAAAGGTGACTATTATAGTCTGCGATTTGAATAAAAACTTTATTTCCAAATAATGATCCAAATATTAGTTTTTAAAATTAGTAAATCTGCTTTTATTGCTGAACCATCATCTTAAGTTCGACCAAGTTCTTTGGCATCTGTTAGTTTTATAAGTTTGCCTAGTAAGAAGCAACAACTGATGTCATCATACACAATATCAATTCAATATTATTGAAAATCTAGCAATATTTAGAGAGGCTAACAGTCTTCAAATCTAACTCAAAAAATGTTGTGTTGTTTTATGTTGAGTATTTAATTTTTTTAAATTAAAGTTTTTATTACATGATAAGTTTTTACAGACCTAAAGGAAAAATAATAATTAAAAATAGGATAAAAAAATAACAAAAATAATTTTTTCTTTCATAACTAAAAACCTATTAATTAAAAATGCAGACAAGGCAAAAAATTGCTTTACAATCATTATACTGATTTTTAACTGAGTTGATTTTGGTTAAATTAAAGTATTGTGATGAGTTTTATACTAGCATGTTAACCAATCAAATTATATCAACAAAGTTGTGCAGTGATTGGTGGTCTATCATTAACCAGAGAAATGAAAAATCAGTTCAATAAAAAATGTCTGCAGGATTTTGCAAATTTATTTATGGATCAATTAAAAGAATATTTTCCTTGTTTTATCTGGTCAAAAGTTAGAAATCAAGTTTGTGAGAAGTCAAAAAAACTTGTACAAATATATAGACAGTATCAAAAATAGATAGTCGGTTTTGTAAAAAATTTGTCAAAAAATTTAAATATTTTTATCATAGTATATTTATTCTAAATAAACTTTGATAAAATTTTATTGAATGCTTATGTTTTCAGAAATGTTGGTTATAATAAATCATTAAGTTATAAAATATCTTTAAAAAATCCAGATTGCCCGAGTTTTATTGGGTTTTTTTATGCAGGTATTATTGGGAGGGTTTTTATTAAGTGGGTTTTATTAGGAGGGGTTTTTGTGCGGGTTTTTTAATGCCAACCCTGTAATCAAAGCACAAAATGGCTAGATTTCTCTAATAAATATATATATATATATATATATATATATATATATATATATATATATATATATATATATATATATATATATACATATATATATTAAATTAATAATAAAATAAATACAATTAGATTTGAAACATAACTCAGAGTTTCAAGCTTTATGCGATCATCAGACGTTACAAACAACCGTAACAACAACAAAAATTATATACAAAAATATAATACAGTGTTAGCTTAGATGACGTTAAAGTTGCAAATAACAAATTTGTTTTCGTGGCGACATTTTGATATTAGTTCATTTCGTTTATTCAGTAGTTTCAAAGATGACGTAATGATATGGTATTTTTCAGTTAAGCAAAGGTTACATAACTTTCCTCCAGGTTTAAATGGTTCCGCCCTATCAATAACTATCCACGTAAGAATAGGATTTGAAAATCCCTTTTTTTTCATTTCCCAGATATATTTCGAAAGTTCTGTGGTGTTAGCTTTACTTTCGTATTGAAAGGAATTTTTATGTTTGTACCAGCGATCTTTAAAGGTGTGTTCCGTTAGACCAATATAATTAAGACCACTATCCTGCAGTGATGTTTTTACATTGCAGACGTAAATTATATTTTTACTGAGACACATACCTTGCAAAGGACATTGAGAAGGTTGCCGGCAGTTACATGTTGGAACAATTGTGTTGGAAACATTAGATAAAATTTTTTTATTGTGTGAATTAATAATATTGGTGATGTTAGGAAGACAGCTATAACTAACTTTTAAATTATTCTTATTAAAAATTTTTCGAAACTTATGTGTTTTTAGAAAATGCTTTTCAATTAGATTTAGAAAATTTTTTGCGATGTTGGTTTTTACATTTTGTGAAAACGGAGGATTAAACCAAATAATATTTCGTGATCTTGATTTTGGTTTTAATGAGGTAAGGTTTTTTTGAAAACTAATCTTTTCATTATACCCACTTGCTGTTAACGCATTGTTAT